TATCATTTTGGACCAATGAAAAAACCGATATGTACTGGCCGATACCAACAACTTGGCATGTGAGTCCCCCTCTTTGCCGCTTCTGTTTCAAAAACAGAGTCTTACAGCCCACGCTTGTCGGAAGCTGACAAGTGAGCGCCATTGCAACAGTGATTTCAATCTCAAACTCAAACAATGTGATTGCTAAGGAATTTTACTACCATATATATCCATGTGTCGTATGGAACTATTACATTTTCCGTGTTCAGCTACAGAAAATATGCAAATTCAGACACGTGATAACACTACCAAAAGTGTAAAACCTGCAGGTTCGGGTCCTAATACAAGCAATAATTATGCAATCAATTTACCCAACTAGCAGAAAGAATAGCAGTGGGGATTGACGTTTTTGGGTTTAATCACTATAGACTGAAGACTACAAATTGAGGGCCAAAATAACATACCTTTCTAGTAGTTTCAGCCTGAGAGTGGCTTTACGCCTCCATTTTCTTGTTCGCTATTAACGGGGGTGGAGGAACCTGATCCACTTCTCCTGCTGTGGTGGCCTGTGATGGTCCTGCCCATGAACCTACCGGCTTTGCTCAGTCCGCTGCCAACTGCTCCGAGCCCAGTTCCTACCATCCCAACCCCTGCACCAACTCCGCTTCCCACAAGGCCAACTCCAGCACCAATACCTGTTCCCACGAGCCCAACTCCACCAGCAATACCGGTTCCCACCAAACCAACACCTGAGCCAACCAGTGAGGCGGCTCCATCAAGTGCGTCCATGGTGCTTCCTATTACTCCCGCTTCTTTCAGTTTATTTCTTTCCTCTAGGATCCTCTTCTCTTCTTCCAGAGCAGCCAATTGTTCTTCCTTGTTAAATTCATGGTAAAACACCTGATAAAGTGTACAAGGAATATCATTTTAATACAGAGGAAAAAAGTAGAAAGAGATTCAAAATATTAAGTGAAGCTATACTGCAGGGAGCAAGAAAACAAAATGGATACCTTCAGGGTAACACTTCCCCGGTCCCTTTTATCTTTTACTTTGAGCGTATCAAGGGATGGTAGAAGTCTCAACTCAATCTCCTTTAGTTTCTCAGGCTCCATATCAATCAGGGGTAATTTTGCAATTCCCAATTTCTTGTCTTGCCCAATGTCCTGGTCGAAAACCTGTTAAATGATATTATCAACATTAGACACTTTTACATGGGAGAGATGTATAACAACTTTACTAGAAAATAAGGGAAACATAACAGCATGAGCAAAGGGAAGAAGACTATGAGTAGTTTAGAACCTCAACAGTAAGTGACTGTGTCTCTTTGTCTTCTGCAATCAGCTCAAATGTTTGATTCCAAACAGGATTGAGGTTATTGTCAATGACTTTTGTTTTAACCTTGAAGAGTGGCCGAATGTGAACAACTGCATAAGGATCTGATTTTCCAATCATTTCCATGTTTTTCAATTCATTTCCCTTGACTACCGTGACAGTCAGCTTTCCTTGTGGTTTAAGCTCTAATTCACTGCATGACAAAGGAAGAGTTGTATCTTCAAATTCAGGCATGGAAACCATATAAAAGACAAGATATTAAGAATTTTGCATGTCTTAACAATTCTAAAAGTATCCAAGCTACAAAGTGCCACAAAGTAGATAAAAGTCCATTTTCTTAAATTTCATAACATTTTGGACCAATGACTTCTTTGAAAATGAACATGTGAAAAAAGCAAGTCAGTTCTCTGATAAAGAAATGGAAAATATATCTCATAGAGAACTCGATCCAACCGCTTTGAACAAAACTGGTTTTAGAATATTATGATGATTCTTTTAAGCAACCTGCTGTGGTGTCATTACCACCTGAAAGGGCTTGGCAATAGAGCACTAAAATGCACACTTCAGAATTACCTTGTATCAACAGGGATACCACCAAGAGGAACAACAATCCTATGTGGCCACTGAAGCATATCTGTGACAATTGAATTCACGGTATCCTGCAAAACATGATAAAAGAAAAATGACTTATAATGAGTTTGTATGACAACTTGAAAACCATTGTTCAAAACATATAAACTTACATCTATCATATCTGAAAGTCCAGGAATGGCTGTCAAGCTTCCACCAATAGCTTTCAGAGTATAGTCAATTCTAGGTTTTGGCTGATTGAATTCAACAAAAACATCAGTCCTTTACAGAAACTATAAATAGAGTTCACAATCAGAAAGTAAAATCATCAATGATGACCAATTGCTAAGTCATGTCCCTTAAATTTTGTAACAAGTGAGCTTTTGGTATGCACATAACACAAACACAGGTAATGTAGAAATAGATTAGATAGGAAAAAGTTTGAGTCAAGATTGTCTCTCATAAATATTATATAAATAAGCAAAAAGCCTTTCTGCCAAATAGCACAGGCATAGATCTCCCATATATTTGGATGCAAATGAATAAGTATTATAACCGTACCTCAGAAAGTAGAGCAACAACAACAGCAGAAATGCAAGGTATCTCTTCAGCAAGTTGGAAGATGACACGAACAATAGTGAAAACTTGAAGATCCTTCAACTGTGTCATATAGCAAAATGCTAACAGTAAAAATAAAGATCTTATCTGATAAAATTAAACCTGTAGAGGAAGAAGCCATAACAAAAATGGCATCCAAATAAGATAAGTATCTATTGAAAAGGAAACTTCACAAACCTGAATGGGTATTGAAGCAACAAGCGCAGCCTCAACACCTAAAATGATGCTCGGATCACCACCCCACCGGAAATCAATATCCATTGTGATTTGACCTTCCTTAAGGCTCTGAACACGAATACCTGCATTTATTGAGTATGTGCAATACCAAAGCATGAGAATTGTTATCTAACAATGGAGAGATTACCATGTCATAAAATATGGCAGCTTGATGAAGCACAAGCAGAAAAAGACAAGAAATGGTAGGATTTTAAAACTTTAAATTGAATCATACCTTCAATCTTGGGTGCCACATTCCCAAGAGACAATTTGTTAAACTTTAATGAAGTGATTCCCGGAGGTCGGTATTGTTCCAAGAGAGGTTCAACAGATTCTCGTATCACCAGGGTTGCTGCCTGAGATGGACATATTCAACAACCTTCGGCTCAAAAATTCAAAAAATACACTGCTAATTACATGAGGCTGTTCAATATATTTCAGAATTCAGATTTTTCACTCTGTCACGTCTGAGTCATCCTTTAATATTCATTTTTAAGGGAGTGGGAGCAAGAATTGTTACCCCAAAGTCTATGCTAATACCCAACTTACAGTACTACAGATGGGCAACCTAGTAATGGTTAATTTAACTTTCACCGGTGTCATCTCAAAAACAAAAGCAAAACACTTACCTCAGCAACAAATGGCCATAATTTGCTTAACTGCTTGTTCAACCATTTCACCTAAAGGAGCCAACCATTATCAAAATATTCAACAACTACACTAAAAGTAAACATGGTAATTAAAATGAAACCTGTTCATAATAAACAAGTGCCCAAGTAGCATGGCTAGCCTCATGCAGTGAAGAAACGAGAAGAGATCATAGTTAATTTGAAAACTTAAAAGGTATTGTAGTATTTAATTTGAATACCAACCTGTTCATAGACAGGAAATGATATCCATTCAGGAAAATTATCCCCACAGATTTTCCTCAGATCCTCTCTGTTAAGGGAACTGAGAAGTTTAATATCAACCGCCTGTCAACGAAGAGAAATATTGTGAATGAAAGGCATCCCAAACTGAAACACACCCAATAAAAGTTGTGATGGATAATGACTCAAACTATTCTACCAAACACTTCCGGATTTATTAGGAACTTATTGAATTCCAGAAAACCAATATGCAACACAATAAACATGCAGCCCCCATTATTTTTGCCAATAAACATGAAGCCAACAATCCAAGATAGAAGAACAACCATTGAAGCACCATACATACAGTGAGCATGGAAATTAAAAATTATATATTAAACTCATTGAACTATTTCTGAAACATGTTAATTAATCAATCAAAAAGGGATTTAAGAAGAGTTCTAAGGAAACGCCACAAATTCAAGGAAAGGAACGGAAAACATAAACTAGACAATAAAATTGAAGCATGTATAATAAGAACATTAAAAACCGGAATTTGCATAAATCATTAGAGAGATTATCAGACCTTTGCGATTCGCTTACGGCTTCGATACTTCATCATGTGTTGCCAGCCGGCCATCAACCCGATCCCGAAGATCACACCCATAAAAATCCCCGATATCAACCCCATTTTCCTAAAACTAAAACAGGAATTTCGTCAGGGAAAAAAATCAAATCAATAGACAAACAAATTTCACAGAGAGAGAGAGTTACAGTGAAACTGAAGATTTCAGAAGCATAGAGACAGTGGAGACTGAGGAAACGAAGTGAAGAAATTGGGGATCGGAAGAAAGAACAATGGAAAAAGTATGCGTTTACTTGTGTTGGAAGGACCGCAAATTTCGAAACCTCACACACCCTTCTGGATTGCTCAGTCTAGATTATATGCGTTTCTCGCTCCTAACGTCTTTGTCGAATGCCGGTTGTCGTTGGCATTGCAAGTAAAAATGGAAGGCAACCGTGTGATGGATGGAGACCAGACGGAGGAAGACGGGGAGAGGCTCGGCTTTCTTTCTGCCCTTAAAATCTTGGCATTCAATTTTCCTTTTAAAAAAAATTGGCAAAAATGCTTCTTCACCCCCAAACTTATCCCAATATCATTTAAGTTTTTAAATTAAAAATGAAGCAGATAAACCATCTAATTCTACTAAAAATACAAATAAGTCTTTTTTCTTTGTGGTTATTCATGCTTTCAAGGAAATATTAAATACAAAATGCCGTTAGGCCCGTTTATCAAAAGGATTTATTTGCATTATTAGAAGCATTGGAGGGCTTATTTACTTTATTTATAATTTAGGGGTTTAAACTTTAAATGTTATTTTTAAAAAAATTTAGGAGCTTAAAAATGTTTTTCCCAATCAAAAATTTTTAAAAAACTTCTGTCGGTTTTTGGAATCGTTGCGTTACTTTCAAATTTCTCCAGAAAAGGAAATACCTGTACTCTTTTTTTTTTTTGTTTTTCTTTTGTTAAATGTCAATTTTGGTGCATCTCCTTTAACACTTCTAATCGTTTTTGTCTTTTAATTTTTTTAGACATTTTTTTCATTAACTTTTAAAATTATAGGATTTTAATCTCTCTATCAATTAACTATAATATGATTGTTAAATTATTTTATAATGGAATTTTCTTCTAATTCTTTTAATAGTGTGGTAATATGTGAGGTAATTAAATTATGTATGCAAATAAAGACGTCAAAAAGTTAGTATTTATGTTTTCAAATAGTGACCTGTATTTTCACATAATTAATAAGTAAAAATAAATAAAAAACAATAAAATTACATTATTACTCCCATCTCCCTTTCAATCCGTCTTCTTCTCCCTATTTCTTCCCATAAGCTCCTACTCAAGTGCTCTTGGTAAGGTTGAACCCAACAAATATTGATCATCAAACTTAGCTATTGGGCTCCGTTGAACTCACTTGCCGAGATCGATGGAACCTAGCAAATCTTTCCCCATCCCCCACCTTTCCATTCAACATTAAGTTCATTAGGTTTTCTCATTCTTCTTTTGCTTTCCATTCTTAATCACTTGATTTGCCAATTATATCTGTTCTTTGTAGATTTTTTTAAATTTCGATATTAATCCGCTAAAATATAATTGCTTTTATGTTTAAATTTGATTAAAATTTGATTGATATTATTTAGTACAAAGTGAATGAGGGATTAATTTGATGAGATTTTGAGAGTTTAAAGGCATTGAGATTTTGACATCATTTTTTAGAAAGACAAATTTGTTTATAATGTGACAGACTTATTTTAGGATTTGTAGAGCATTTACTATTTCTTTTTTCATTTTATTTAACTTTTTAGATTATATGGAGTCTACTGAGATGTATGTTTTAGGCATGTTTTAAAAGTAAGAATATAAGATGACATATGAGAATAGTCTAAGTAGGCATATTTTCTTAATTGTATTATCCATTGTATTATCCATATTATTAGAACAAATAAAAAAATGACACGTGGACTAGTTAATAGGACAAACTAATGGAAGGATGAAAATTATGTAGTTTTTAGAGTTGAGGGACCAAAGAGTATATAAAAAAGTTAGGAGGTGAAAATATATAAAATCATAAAGTTGAGGGATCCAAATTAGTATTTAACCTTATTTTTTATATCGGTTGCAAGGTTTTTTTTTTTCAGTTTGCTCCACGACTGGCGTAATTTTACATGCTTTTTTTTTTTTTTGAAAATAGGCAATAAAATTTTTTTTTTACATGCTTTTGAGAGATGTGTCATGTGTGAATGGAAAATGATATAGGATAATTTTTGTATGATATTTGATATAGTTTTATATATTATTTAAATAATTAATTTTTTAATTTAATTGAGACTTAAAATATTAAATATATGTAAAAATTATATAGAAATATTATATAAAAAAATTATTCCTATATTATCCATTTGTGTGAATTTATTGCATTTTTTTTAAAGAAAAATGTTTTAAAAAATAATTTATCATTATACTAAAGTACTGTAAAATAAAAATAATTAAATAAAATGACAATTTTCAATATTCAATTAAATTGTAGAGTCTGGCGCAGTATTACACTATTTTTTTTCAAAGCAGAAACGTAATAAAATGGGAAAATGTAAGCCGTTTAACATATCTTAATTTGTGAGAACATAAATCTAAACCTGCACCTGGAAACACCTCAACAAAACCGATCGACCGACAAGTATACCAAATTACCAAACTAACACCGTAGAAACTTCTAAATTGCTATTCCTAACCCCCATCACGACATGCCATCGTCAACGCGTTCACGTTAGGACCGCAAGAACGCCGCAGCACCAAAGATAAGCGCACACAGCACCACGCGCGCGTCAGCGCCCAGGCTCAACGCGCCATTTTGCAGCAACGGCGAACCACCTGCATTTTTAACCGGCGGCGATTTGGCATCGGGTCCAGGCGGTTCGATAAAAGGAGAAGGAGGCGGCTGGTTAAGGCTGGGAGGCAATCCGAGGCCGTGATTGACGGAGATCCCAAACGCTAGGCCATTTTGGCACTGGATGCCATCATTTGCGTCGGAGAAGAAGTAGTTGGGGCCTTCTTCGGTCAACGGCACCGCGATGGTATGCGGTTTACTGAATGCCGTGCTGCCTCCATAGTAATGGAATGTATCATTGTCCGATGCGTCGTCGGTTGAGCAGCTTTGAAAAGTAGTCTCGTTGAAAGTCTGGATCACGGTTTCGTTTGTGTCCGTCCTGAATACTGTTTGGATCACGAGAAAATACGAAAAGAAGAAGAAGAGATTAACGATTCAAACGAGATAGATTAACAGACTAATTAATTTCAACACAAACCAGATTCTAAGCTAAGATTTCCATTATTTCATTACCAAACGCTGATAAAAAATAAATTCATTCCCAAACAAGGATTTGATCCAAATTCACCATCAAAACCGATCGAACATTCTAAAAAAAGAGAGATGTGATGATGGAAAAGTGTTGAGCCTTACTGAGATAATCTCCGAGATTGAATGTTTGATTTGCGGCCCAGGAAGTGTAATTGGTAACAGAGGTATTGGTGGCGGTGTGGAAGAACCAGCCGGCGGCGCCACCAACGGTGTGGTTGGTATATTCAGTTGCGGCGGCCGCAGTGGAGATGAGTAGCGCCACCACCGTCCAACTAAACAATGCATTGATCACCGTCATTGTTGAGCTGGTCGACGCTGTCTAATCTGATTACATCTAGGATAGGAAAAGTTGACTGTGTTTAAAAACGGTGATTAGCTCAAAAAAGACAAATAAAGTTGTAGCTGTACCTCCGATTAAAAAAAGGGGAGCTGTTCCGAGTCATGAAAATTGAAATACGGAAAAGGCAGCCGGACAGGTGTGGAAGAAGGGAGGAAAGGAGAGGGTACAAGTACAAGTACAACACTACAATACATTTTCCTGCATATGGTGGAGTTTGTGGATGTGGGTCCCTCTCGCATGTGGTCTTGCCCAAAGCCAGATTCTTCTCTCCCGCTATTTTTTTTCCTATTCAAAACGTTTTTCTTGTCTTTCTCCCTCCCTTTTTTTTCTCATACAAGGAGCATGATCGGTGAAGTTGATAAGTGAATTAATTTTTTTATATTATTTATATTTTATAAATTTAAATTTTTTAAAAATATATATATTTTATATTTTTTTAATTTTAAAAATATTTTAAACAGTAAATTTTAAAAGTTTTAAACTTAAATTTTTTATAAATTTTTTTACTTATTTTTTACTCATTTTTTTATTATTTTTAAAAATAATTTTTAAATTTTTTGTTTAATAAAAATTTAAATTTATAATTTATAAACAATACTAAAAAAACAAAAACTTCAAAAAGTCCATCAAACAGGCCGAAGGCCCAAAAATCCATTTTTTAAGCCCAAAGTAAAGGCTTGAACTTGGCCTGATTTCTCAGCGTCCTTCGAATTTCGATCCATGTCCATTGTCCAACTCCAGCTAATTATCTGTTCTGTGAAATAATACCCCAGAAAAAAAAAAAAGTATTTTTATCTATTTATTTTGTGAAAAATATTTGATTTTTTAGGAGAAAGCTTTTTTTTTTTGCTCTATTTTTATATTTTATTACGCTCTTATAAAGTATACATTCGATTTATTGCATAATCATATTTAAAAATCATGTGTGTAACTCTCTCTCCTATTATTATTGTATATAATTTTCCTTATTTAGTTGGGATTTGAATTATAATTCAATCACAAAACTATTAATTATAGATCAAAATATAAAACCCAGGAGAGAATAACGTACACATTAACAAATTCAAACTTCAGTCCAAGTGGTTGCAAAACTTTGCTTCGTTGACACAAATGACAATGAGTACATATATAAAGAGTTTGGTATATATCATAATTCATAAAATATGATGATTAGATGTACCTAAACCTACATTTAGGAAATCCCTCATTTAATTAATGACTAGACTGTATAATATAAAAACTTGAAAAAGAAATTATGATTCATTAATCTACAATAACTGTTGAGTTATAATTGTTGATATGATGCCAGCATTAATGTAGAAGATGAATAAATGGACCCACGACTTAAATTAGAAAAATTGATGATTAAATTAGTAACCAAACTGTATTTGAAAGGGGAAATAGGCATGATTTTTTTTTTTTTTTGACAAGGACAATAGTTAGAGGTTGGTAAAGTTAGAATTGTTAATGAGAGGTATTGAACCTGAACAAGGGTGCAATCCACCGGCTACCCTTTTGGGCAGCAGCGACCACAACCATAACGGAAGAATGCGGGAAGAGATGAGAATTGAATCCCATACTTAAGATAAGATACCCTTTAACCAATGGTTAAATAGTCACTTAGGTCACACGGGCTTCTTAATGGGGGATATAGGCATGATTAATTCGAAGGAATCTATGTTAAAAGCTACCTCGCTGAAACAGCTTTCTCAACAGCCAACAAGGCAGGCAAGCTGCCGAGGGAGGAGCAATTGACAGGTTGGGGAACCCCCTCCTATTGGTTTATCTGAAGCAATCCCTGCGAGGCTTAGTGGGTGTCTCTATCACGGGAACGATGCTGGAAGGAATATTCCTCTTCATGGCATAGGGACAAGAGGTATTTTTTTTCCACGAAAATTTATAAAAAATTTTTCTCATCTCATGGGGCCCCATAGAAATCCCATACCCATGAAAAATTAAAAAAATATGTAAATTAATTTAAGTTTAAATTTAATTTAACATTTAAACCCAAATCCAATTTAATAAAATTTAAACTTAACTCAATTTTATCAAACCCATTATTAACCTTTTAGTTATTTATGTTGGATTAATCTTTATTTATGTTTAGACAATTTATATTTGGATTTATATTTAAATAATTTTAATTAAGTATACTTGAATTTTTAAAATTTTATTCATTATAATTGAATATTAATTAATTATATTAAAAAATTATTTTTTTATATTAATTGGTTGCAGGGTTTGCCCGTTAAAAATCTCTGTGAAAATCCTCATCCTCACCATTCGCGAAAATGGAGATGGGGAGAGACTCCCTGATCCTGCAGGACTTGTTGACATCTCTAATATGAAACAAGAGGCAATTGCATGAATGCAATTGGTGCTTGGACTGATTCCCTTTCAATGAATACCAACAACTATTTCACATATGCTAGTTGTGAGATATATAGATTCTCTATTTTGAGGTATACATATTCTCTATTTTCATGACTTTAGGTTATACCACTTGGACTAAAAGATTATTATGGGTTTTTCTAAGAGTATAGATTAGGAGTGTAATTATTAATTATTGTATATTGTTTATATTATTATTTTTTTATCTTGATTGCACAATGAGAAGTAATCATATTTCATCCTTTATTTTATCATACTTATATGCCATATGAGTCAAACTCATAATGTTTTATTTCCAACGAAAAGAGATAACTATTAAATTTTTTAGGTCGTTGACTGTTTATATTAATTAGTATTAAAAAAATAAAAATTATTATTAATTTCATTATTAATGTTACATGAATAATTTTAATTGAAAAATTGATTAAATTAATCTCAAATTTTATTTTTACAATACTAATTAATGTGAAAAAATACAATAATAGCACATTTAAAGGCACAAACTAGAAAAATCTTATTATTATAACCCTTTTCATCAACATTACTATTTTAATAATGATAATTTAGAAGAAGGATAAAATGCTTAGGAGTAATCACTACTTAAGGCATCACTCTTAAAAAAAAAAAAGAAAAAAGAAAAACCTTTTTTCACATGTAAAAACTAAAGGGCTTTTGATATGGTCTCTATTAATATCATCAAATTCATATTTAACACACAAAAAGCTTATTTTCAACTATTTTTGTAAATTTTGAAATGAAAAATTAACTCTACTAAATTGAGTTTTTGTAAATTATTATCTTTATTTGTTAGATAATAATTAAAACTTTCAAAATTCAAATGTATTGACAAATACAACGCCATACAAAAGAAAAAAAAATCGAGTTTATGCAATGACAATGATTTTCATTTTTTTTAAAAGATAAAGATACGTACATCCACCGGTTTAATACCGGTGGGTGCACATATTATAAAATAAAGGTTTTTCTTGTATAAACCAAATAAATGTAAGAATAAAATTACAAATTTAACCTTCCTCCTCTTTTTCTTCCATCATCCTCTAATCACCATTTTTACCCATCATCTCCGATCTTCATCATCCTCCACCTTCATCACTGATCATTCTTCTTCATCATCAATCACCCATCTCTAATCTTCATCACCAATCACTCATCTCTAATCTTCATCACCGATCATTTTTCTTCTTTCCCTCACCTCTTTTTTTCTTCTTCTTTTTTTTTTTCTCTCTCTCGGTGGAGAACCCATCTTGGGTTCTCACAAGAGAAATTCTGATTTTTTTTTTTTGGATGGATGGATTTGGTGAAATGCTTGAGTTTTCCTGGGGTTTGATTGTTGAATGTGCTTGAATGCTTAAATTTTACTGGGATTTGGTTGTTGAATGTACTTGAATGCTTGAGTTTTGTTGGGATTTGTTCTGTGAGAAATAAATTCAGTGAGAAGGGTAAATTTATAATTTTATTGTTTAAACTAATTTGAGTATAAAAATGAGTGTCGGTTCATAAGTGTACTATCTTTTTTTTTAAATGGGAGGTTATGCAATGATTCAAGTACAGTACTCGTAAAAATCAAGCAACAACATGGGTCCTTTTCTCATTAAAATCTTTCATTTTCGTCCCTTAGAAGTTAGAACACAGAAGGTAAGAGGCAACAAATAAAGTAAAAAAAGAAAAAAGAAAAAAAGAAGCGACAAATAAAAGAAAATATATTTTAAATAATTTTTCTTCGTTTGTTATTGACTCAGTAGCAACCAAGGGAGGGCCTAGTTTCGTTAACTAGCTAAATCCACCTTCTCCGTCGCGCTCATTTCGGACTCTCCATCGTCTTCTCCGATTCTCTTCTCCTGCTGTTCTCCGACTATCTCAGTTTTTTTGGATTATCCTCGATCGACAATATTTACCAGAAGCTTCAATTAGTGCGAAACTCATCGATTTTCACCGGTAAGTTGATCATTTCCTGGTCGATGCACGTCGCATTTCTCTTTCCAGAAGCATGGAAATCTATACCTGTTTCACTCCGATCTGCACATTTTCTTCGCTTCTTCAATTCTCAGTTTAGAGTTTGGATCAAGCTTCTTTTCTTTAGCTACATCTGTTGGAAGGACATGTATATTCATTCATCATGTTCTGAGTTGTTTGACCGATGCACTAAACTGTTCGATTCCGTCAATGTGAGAATATTTTGTGTAGTTTTCTCCTTTTTTATTTGTTATTTCAGAGAATAAATAATTATATACAAATGCAAGAATGTAAGTCAGTAATTTTTAGTTGTCTACTTAGTTTTCCTTTCTTGGGCTAGATCTGGTGATTCTAGCTTAATTTTAACGCTTTGATAGTTTGATTCATGAATTTGATTGCTTTCACCAGCACTGAATCGGACTTGTGTGATATTTTGAATTCATATACACCTCTTTGAAGTTGTGGTTACTTAGTGTTTTCGAATTGATCTGAGTGGGACAGTTCTCAACTCTTTTTGTCTTTTGTATGTACTGTATATAATTCAAATGAGAATCTGATAGGTTTTTGAAGTATTATGCAATGGAAGAAGAAGAAAAAAAGAAAAGTATAGGAGAAATTTCTGTGGATTCGGTTACTCCTGAAGTAGCTACTGTTGGGGAGGATTTTAAGGGATCATATCATGAGGAGAATGTTAATGTCAATGGTCATGGTGATGAAGCTCAGGTAAGAAATGGTAGAGATGTTTTGGAAGGGTTTCATCCTTCCAGTGTTACCGTGGATGAAAGCCAGTTTGAGCAAGTATGTTTAGAAAATCAAGAAATGTCTGATGGAGTGTCTCCTGCTGGTCATGTGGATTCAAATCGTTCATCAAATTCAGATTATGAGAGACATTCATCTGGTGAGTTTGATGAATCTTCTGTACATTTAAGTAGATTGTATGGGCCAGAACATGGTGGTTCCCCCGGTGCTGAAACGCAACATGATCATTCTATTTCAAGCCCAGGATCTGGTAGACAATCATATTATACCATGAAGCAGTCCAGTTCAGCGACTAGTCTTGATAACTTTTATGCAAATTCTGGATTTTCTCCCATTGGCTCACCAGGAAAGCCTAAGCCCAAAGCTGTTGTGCTGAATGTCTCACCAGAGTTATTGCATTTAGTTGACTCTGCCATAATGGGAAAGCCTGAAAGCTTGGAGAAACTGAAAAATATTGTTAGTGGAGCTGAAACTTTTGGGAGTGCAGAGGAATCAGAGAGTGTTGCCTTTTTGGTTGTTGATTCACTTCTTGGAACGATGGGTGGAGTCGAAAGTTTTGAAGAGGATGAGGATAGCAATCCTCCGAGTGTGATGCTAAACTCTAGGGCAGCAATTGTTGCTGGTGAGCTTATTCCCTGGCTTCCCTGGGTTGGAGACAGTGAGATTTTCATGTCCCCTAGGACACGGATGGTTACAGGATTGCTTGTTATATTACGGTCTTGCACAAGAAACAGGGCAATGTGCTGTATGGCTGGGTTATTAGGAGTTCTTTTGAGGTCAGCTGAGATTATTTTTGCTCAGGAGGCTGGTTCAACAGAGCAGTTGAGATGGGATGGAACTCCCTTATGCTATTGCATGCAGTATTTAGCTGGACATTCACTAAATGTTGCTGATTTGCAGATATGGTTTCAGGTTATTACAAGAACAATTACTACTGCATGGGCACCTCGCTTAATGCTTGCATTGGAGAAGGCTGTGGGTGGAAAGGAGTCAAAGGGACCATCATGTACTTTTGAGTTTGATGGTGAAAGTTCTGGTTTGCTTGGACCAGGGGATAGCCGTTGGCCATTTATCAATGGGTATGCATTTGCCACGTGGATCTATATTGAATCTTTTGCAGACACTTTAAATACTGCAACTGCTGCTGCTGCAATAGCTGCTGCGGCTGCAGCCACGTCAGGAAAATCATCAGCGATGTCAGCTGCAGCTGCTGCCAGTGCACTTGCAGGTGAAGGAACAGCGCACATGCCTCGTTTGTTTAGTTTCTTATCTGCTGATAATCAGGGGTTGGAAGCATATTTTCATGCACAGTTTTTGGTGGTTGAATGTGGAAGTGGAAAAGGAAGAAAGGCCTCTTTACATTTTACTCATGCATTCAAGCCTCAATGCTGGTATTTTATCGGTCTGGAGCATGTTTGCAAGCAGGGACTTATTGGGAAAGCTGGGAGTGAACTAAGATTATACATCGATGGATCCCTATATGAAACTCGTTCATTTGAGTTTCCTCGCATCTCAAAGCCATTGGCATTTTGCTGCATTGGGACAAATCCTCCTCCTACGATGGCTGGTTTGCAACGTCGTCGTCGTCAGTGCCCTTTGTTTGCTGAGATGGGGCCTATATATGTATTTAAGGAACCCATTGGCCTGGAAAGAATGGCACGTTTGGCTTCTAGAGGAGGTGATGTGTTGCCCTCCTTTGGTAATGGGGCAGGCCTTCCTTGGTTGGCTACAAATGATCATGTGCAAAGGAAGGCAGAGGAAAGCTCTCTATTGGATGCAGAAATTGGAGGATGCATTCATCTACTTTACCACCCCAGTTTACTTAGTGGCCGATTCTGTCCAGATGCTTCACCATCTGGTGCTGCAGGTGATTGAAACATTTGAACATTTTAAAATATTTTGAATAGAATCACGTGTACTTTTAAGTCATGCACTTTGATATTTATATGCAACTGTTGTTGTTTCTGCACTATGTTTTTCAGCATGTAAACAGTAATTATATGATTAATTTACTTTGTGAGCAGTAGCATTTCTTTTATGATTTTTCTTATGTTGATTTACCAACTTTTTTCTAGTCCTTTTTCTGAGTCACAATAAATAAATTTTATTTGTTTTCCCCTTGTTGTTCATATATTAGTTCCCACAATTCCATTTATTTTGATTTTTAGAATCTTCCCACTTTCATCCCCAATATCCTTTACTATTGGCAGTTGTCCGGCATGTATAAATAATCAGATGCTTCTGACTCTCTGATTAGTGGTTTCTATTTTTGTTCTTGCTTAATTTACCAATTAATTGTGATTCAGGTATGTCACGCCGTCCAGCAGAGGTTCTTGGGCAAGTCCATGTTGCAACACGAATGCGACCTGTAGAGGCTTTATGGGCCTTAGCTTATGGAGGCCCCATGTCTTTACTTCCTTTAGTTGTAAGCAAAGTGCATAAAGATAGTCTGGAACCAGAACAGGGGAGTACTGATTTGTCTGTGGCTACAGCTTCTCTTGCTGCACCAATATTCAGAATCATTTCCATGGCTATTCAACACCCTGGGAACAATGAAGAATTGTCTCGGACCAAAGGGCCTGAGATTCTATCTAGAATATTAAACTATCTTCTACAAACTTTGTCTTCTCTAAATTCTGGAAAACATGAGGGTGTTGGAGATGAGGAGCTTGTTGCAGCTGTGGTCTCTCTATGTCAGTCTCAGAAGATCAATTGTGCACTCAAAGTGAAGCTTTTCAGTACACTGCTTCTAGATCTTAAAATTTGGAGCTTGTGCAACTATGGGTTGCAAAAGAAACTTCTTTCCTCTCTCGCAGATATGGTCTTCACAGAGTCATCAATCATGCGAGATGCAAATGCTATTCAGATGCTTCTTGATGGCTGCAGGAGGTGCTATTGGATAGTTCGTGAAAAGGACTCAGTGAATACATTTTCTCTTGATGATAATACACGTCCAATCGGTGAAGTGAATGCCTTGATTGATGAGCTCTTAGTTGTCATTGAACTTTTAATTGTAGCAGCACCACCTTCATTTGCTGCTGATGATGTCAGGTGTCTTCTTGGATTCACAGTTGACTGCCCACAACCTAATCAGGTGAAGTCTTTTAGCTGGATACTTTTTTATAGTGGAGTATATTGTATAACCTTTGTGTGTTTTAAGAAATTCTTTTACATAAGTAGGAGCAAAAGAGTATAAGCAACAGCAGATTTAGGAACTGAAGCAATTGTGTCATGGTATAGAACTGATATAGGGAAAGATTATTGAGGTTAATTACCTTCCTATGCTATGCAAGCTTGGAAATGCATCAAGAGAAAAGGATGGATTTGATTCAAGGAGAAAGCACTAGCATGAAATGAGAGTGCATAATAACTGTGGGCAGAACAAATATGAAAGATATTGTAGTTAAAAAGCATTGTGATGCTTACTTTTCCACTATTCTTGTTTGCTGAGAATTTTTATTCAGATATCAGGAGATATTCAGGCACCAGTTTTAGAGGTCTCATTGATATGCATGCTTCATATTTGATGCTGATATCCAAAGGAATTTGTGTTTGCCATCATCTTGTAGTTTCATAAGAAATGACTGACTACTTTTGCTTTCAGGTGGCCAGGGTGTTGCATCTGTTCTACAGACTAGTGGTACAGCCGAATGCAACAAGAGCTCAATCATTTGCAGAGGCATTTGTAGGTTCCGGTGGAATAGAAACACTTTTGGTCCTTCTGCAAAGAGAAGCTAAAGCTGGTGACCATAGCATCCCAGAATCTACTGCCAAGACTGATCAAAGTTTGGTAGTTCAGAGAACTCAAGAAGAAGTAGATGGCAGCTCTGGGGTTTCAGAAAGAAGTCCGGATGAAGTATCCCTTGAGGAGGGGGATCAAATTTCACAAGATAAAGTTTTTGAGTCACAACACTTCAATAGCCATACTGCTGCCATGTCATCAGCTGAGAAATTTGGAAGGATGTCATCTGTTTCTGAAAACCAATTTTTGAAGAATTTGGGTGGTATAAGTCTGTCCATTAGTGCTGACAATGCAAGGAATAATGTTTACAATATTGACAAAAGTGACGGAATTGTTGTTGGGATCATTGGGCTGTTAGGTGCTCTAGTAGCACATGGGCATTTAAAATTTGGTTCACATGCTCCTTCAGAAATGACAAACAGCCTCTTTGGTGGTGGACTGAATGAAGGAGGTGGGACCATGTTTGATGATAAAGTTTCTCTTCTGTTTTTTGCCTTGCAAAAGGCTTTCCAGGCTGCTCCAAATAGGCTTATGACAAGCAATGTGTACACTGCCTTATTAGGGGCCTCGGTATGTCAGTCTTCTTTTCTAATCATGGAGCTATTGCGAATGGAATTGGAAAATGTGATTCAGCAAAAATCCAATTTAAAAATCTTTCCTACTTTCTTATTAGTTGAAAGCTTATTGATCTATCATAGCATTTGCTTTTGTTTCCCCTAAGAGCTATTTTTTTGTTTTAAAAGTTTTGCTCATGTACAGTATGTTTTTCTACTTGAAAAAAATACTTCTGGCCAATGCCAAAAGTCTCCATTCATGTTTCTGTTGCCTTTCAGTCTCTCCTTAAAGTTATTTTAGCACATTGGAAACTGTTTTTACTTCTTTTGAATGAATACTCTTGGTTTCTGAGATCATGTTGATGTGCTTTTATTGGAACTTTAGAATTAGCTAGGATGCATGCTGTTAAAGGCATTTTTTCCCCTTATGTCAAGATTCAGTTTATAGAGTCTTTTGATTAACTTCTGTTCTTGTAGTATTTCACTGTGATTGTGAGTGATATTTTCACTGTATCTTAGCAGTTCCAGCTGCTTTTAATAACTTGCATTTGCATAGTATCAGATTATTATGAACATTTATATGTTGCCTCTGGGAATGATATTATTGAAGTTTGAGGTTTTCTCCCCCCATCCCCCATTTCTTTCTCAGATTAATGCTTCTTCAACAGAGGATGAGTTGAACTTTTATGACTCTGGTCACCGTTTTGAGCATATGCAACTTCTGTTAGTTCTATTACGTTCACTGCCATATGCATCTAGAGCTTTCCAAAGCCGAGCCCTACAGGTATGCCAATCTGAACTTCTTGGCAGCAAGATTCTCTTTCTCATGTCATGTTACTGATTAAATTCAAACAAGGGTTTGATATTATTATATGATTATGAATCTGTTAAACAATGTGTTATATTGTTGTGTGCATGTTATGTTCTTCCTTATGCCTCCCTGAGTAATCAAGAGTATACACATATTTATGTGTGGCTGTACCATGCATTTGCATCCGTGTTTTCCATGATTGTTGCCAAAAAATTTTATCTGTTGTATGAAACACATTATCTGTCTCATCTCTGTAAGAACAATGAATCCCATATTATGGAGTGGAACTGTAGAAGACACTGAACTTTGTTGTCTATCCTGTGGGTCAGGCACTGGTGTGAGGCTCTCTGTTATTATTTACAGTACATGAGATTTTTTTTTTTTTTTTGAGTTTCTTAAGTTTAAAATTGTCCAAAGGGTTTGAATTAGCAAACATGCAAGTGTTTGCTTGCCATGTTTTATCAAGTCACCGTCTGCTGTTCCATGGCATGAATAGACTCATGTCCTGTTTTTGATCAACTGATTTTTTATTTTTATCATCTCAGCTATCTGAGTTCCAATTCATGAGATCCTGATGTGATGAATTGAACTTTTCTTGATTTTTTGTTCTTTTCTTTGTCATTTTTAATTTTCTTTATTAAGATTATTGTTGACATTCTTTTATACCATCTAAGCTGCTTCTTCCTGTATGATTTCAGGATCTTCTGTTTTTGGCTTGCAGTCATCCTGAAAATAGAAGCAGTCTGACAAAAATGGAGGAATGGCCTGAATGGCTTCTAGAGGTCCTTATCTCCAACCATGAGGTGATTTCCTCCAGCTTTACTCTTCTGTTTTTGTCCATTGCTAACATGTCTGTATTGTTTTTCTTTTTTATCTTTTTTAAACTCAAGTTTGTAAGGTCTTTTTTGGTGCTTCATTGTCTATTAACATGATTGGTGATGTTGGTTTGTGTTAGAGGCTTATACACTTTTCTAAGTAGTTTTGACCCTTTTGGGTAGTTCGCACATGCATGCTTGTATTGGATAATTGTGTCTGACTTTGATTGTACAGATGGATACAAAAAAGGGGTCTAATTCGGCAAGCCTAGCAGACATAGAGGACCTCATACACAGCTTCCTAATTATAATGTTGGAACACTCAATGCGCCAAAAGGATGGATGGAAGGTTGGTTTTTATCCATCTCTTCTGTTTTTAAATTTAATATATTTTTCACTTTGGACATCCTGAGTAGAAAGTTTCAATTTTGTTCTATGGTAATGATGTTGATGCTAGGCCTTTCATCCTGCCTGAAATAGATTCTTGTGTATATCTTGGTATTTTCTTCTTTCCCCTAAATTGGAACTTAAAAGTGAAGTGTTGAAATTTGTTTGATATACATTACAGGATGCGGAATCCAACTTTTTTATGTGGTCTGCTTATTGCCTGTGATTTTATAGGATATTGAAGCTACAATTCATTGTGTGGAATGGCTCTCTATTGTTGGTGGCTCTAGCACCGGAGACCAGAGAATTAGGTATTACTGTATATTACTGACTGGCTTTGAAGAGTTTCTTGTTTCTGATTATGGTATACTGAATGAGTTTTCATTGTTGTTGCTGCTCCTTTTTTCACTACGATCACATTTTTCTTTTCTCTAATCTTTCTATAATTGTTCTAATATTGCCCTGGAGTGACATGTACAGAGCACATCCGTGGCTGAAACACCAATCAAGATGAGCATAAAGGAGTATAGTCAAGCCAAAGAGTAAACTATTAGTCTGTTTAGGAACAGTTAAGGATTTGTTAAGTTGCACTGGTGTAGAATCACCCAATTGATGTTTTTTAACCCCTATAAAAGATCAATATGTGTCCTGCATAATGCCAAGCCTTGCATCTGACTTGTATGTAATGCATTTTATCAGAAAATTGACAAATTTAACCTTTCTACTTAATACTAGAACAGTACCACATGGTAATTTTGGTGAGAAATGGTATTTGGTTTGTGGTCATCATATATAAAATTATGACCTGCAGGTTGTTTGAAAAACATGCCCTTCCAAGAGCCAGCTGAAGGGTGCTGTTCCTTAAATGAACCAAAACCTGTGCTTGCTGTTTAGAGTTTGCATTTGTATGCTATTCTTTTTGTCTAGAGCTACTTCTGAGGTCTTAAACAAAATCACACTAAATAACTTTTGCAACAGAGCATGTTGATTACTTTATTGTTGATTATCCTGTGGTTCTCTTTTGAAGGCGTGAAGAATCTCTGCCAATATTTAAGAGAAGGCTCTTGGGTGGATTGCTGGATTTTGCTGCCAGAGAATTGCAGGTTCAGGTAATATTTGGTTCTTATCTTTCCTGTATCTCGCTTTCGCATGTGAATAACAACTGCATTTTATGATATTATGTTGAATTAATAAGAGGGATAAGGATCTTTTCCATTTACTCATTGCTAAAGTTCCCTTAAAAGGAAGTCTGTATGAGTTTTGATATATAGTCAATTTGCTCCCAAAGATAATAATGTCACCTCTGCTCTAACAACATTGTTTTTCCTCTTTCTTATAGTTCAATTGTTGAGAAAATTTTAATAATTCTACACCCACTTTTAAATTTGTCCACAGACTCAACTTATTGCTGCGGCAGCTGCTGGTGTTGCAGCTGAGGGTTTGTCACCAAAAGATGCCAAGGCAGAAGCAGAAAATGCTGCACAGCTTTCTGTATTTTTAGTGGAGAATGCAATTGTCATTTTAATGCTTGTTGAAGATCACTTACGGCTGCAAAGCAGAATATCTCGTGCATCACATATAGTTGATAGTTCTCCATCTCCTCTTTCTCTTGTATCTCCCCTGAATAGTAACCCAACTTCATTGACATCGATTAGTAGAGAATCATTTGAATCTGCTGGTGACAGTAGGGATTCTGGCGGTCTCCCACTTGATGTATGTATGCGTATATCCTCAAAACAGACAACAGAGACTTTACCATTGTGCACAAGTTTTGTTTTTGGTGAAAAACGTTTTGGTAGTTACACAGCTGGCAAATGTATCTATTACATTATTTCATTTGTTGCCAGCATATTAACCTGTTTCTCTAACCTTGTAGGAACATAGTCTTATTGGTTCTTCTTAGGCTCTTAATGCTTGACTTATCATTTTCCTTTTTTCACATGCTTAGTTTGTTAATTTCAAGTTAAGCTTTGCGGTTCCACTTCCTTTCCAGAGTGTTTCATTCTCACATATGCTAATTTTGTTTTAAAATCTTGTTTTATTCTTCTTCAATAAGGTCCTTGCTTCAATGGCTGATGCTAGTGGGCAGATTTCTGCAGCAGTGATGGAAAGACTTACTGCTGCAGCTGCAGCTGAGCCTTATGAATCTGTTTCCTGTGCTTTTGTATCTTATGGGAGCTGCACCATGGATCTAGCTGAGGGTTGGAAATACAGGAGCCGTTTATGGTATGGTGTTGGCCTTCCTTCAAAAACATCTGTCTTTGGTGGTGGTGGCAGTGGCTGGGAATCTTGGAATTCTACTTTGCAGAAGGATGCTAATGGAAAGTGGATTGAACTTCCTTTGGTAAAGAAGTCGGTGGCCATGCTCCAAGCTTTATTGTTAGATGATTCTGGACTAGGTGGTGGTCTTGGTATTGGTGGAGGATCAGGTACTGGGATGGGAGGAATGGCAGCGCTTTACCAGTTACTGGACAGTGACCAACCATTCTTATGCATGCTTCGGATGGTGCTTCTTTCTATGAGGGAAGAAGACAATGGAGAAGACGGTATGCTTATGAGAAATGTTAGTGCTGAAGATAATATGTCCAAACAATTCCAAGGGAGCAACATCACGTCCTCAGATAGCAGCACCAGAGTGGCAATGAGACAACCACGATCGGCATTGTTATGGAGGTAACTCTACCAGAGTTTGTTTTCTTAGTTCTGCCTAGCATTGTTAGATTATTTGATTTGCTGCCTTGTCAAAATATGTTATGGGACAAATTTCTGGGATGCTGTTGTGGGCTAGTGGTTCACCTTTAATAATTATCAAAGTATGATCATACTCTGTGGTCTCTTGGTAATTTTGCTGGTATCGTTGTGGTTTTTAATCCTTAAGCTGATATTGGTGTCGAGGATATTCCTAGAGTAGTGTCATCAAATAGTGACAAGGCCTGAAAGTTTGATATCTGTTCAAGTTGTCTCTTGTGATTCATTGGATTCAACTTCAATTGACCTGTGTGAAACTTCAATCCAGTCTAACCAGTTTTACATGCATTCTTCTGCTTTATTTTTGTTTTTTTGCATATAGTTTCAACATGGTACCATGAGGGTAATCCCTCTAAGTTGACTATTTGTCATCTTTTGTGTATTCTTTTTTCCGGACCATACATAATTGCTTAATTTACTTGTAGGTTTCCTTGCTCATGGTCTATGTAGCCTATTTTTTTCTTTCTGCCACACTAACAAGGTTCATTTATAAGGGCTTGTGAAACTAATAATTTCTACAATATACAGTGTGCTTTCACCTGTTCTGAACATGCCAGTTTCTGACTCCAAGAGACAGAGAGTTTTAGTTGCATCTTGTGTTCTCTATTCTGAGGTTAGTTCTGTGTGAATCAGCTTAATTTGGCATTACAGTGGCTTGTTAATTTCTGTGCTTAATTCTCATCGCTTATCTTTTTTGTTTGACCATCATACTGTAATGGAAGATTTAAGTTCTTCCAACATTTTCTGTCATTGTCATTATTGTTTATCACTGTTTAAGTGGAGACCTGTGAATGGGATGCATGCTGCAGGTGTGGCATGCTGTTGGGAGGGACAGAAAGCCACTTCGTAAACGGTATCTTGAGGCCATTTTACCACCGTTTGTTGCTGTTTTAAGGAGGTGGCGACCACTTTTGGCTGGAATTTATGAACTTGCCACTGCTGATGGTTTGAATCCCCTTAATGTTGATGATCGTGCACTGGCTGCCGATGCACTGCCTTTAGAGGTTACCATTCTTAGTTCTTTTCCTTTAATCATTCCTAGTTTGTGGGCTGCAAATGGGCCAAGCCAAGCTGACTTGAACTTCTAATGGGTCTGAGCTTGGCTTGGGTGAATTTATGCAGGCTTGAGTTTGAGCTCGAGCTTGGCTTGATTAAACTTTTTAGAGCCAGGCTTGAAGCTCAATAACTTGGTTGAGCTTGTTATTGAACCTAAATTATGGTCAGGATCCACTCATACATGTGTCAGTCTAAATATAGCACCATCATTTTCAATCCTTGGATTTAAAAATCAATTGCTGATAATTTATGTAAAACTTACTGCGTAGGTGGATCGTGACTATTAAAATAAGATAAATTTATTCATTATTTTATTATCAAATAAGAAATATATTATTAATGCACTAAGCAAGTTGATTTATGTAGTTTCTTGTTGAAACTCTCCAAGCTTGAGATTGGCTTGAGAAGTTAAACTAGTTGAAATTAAGGCTCAAGCTCAATATTCTGTATGAGTAAAGCAGTGAACACAATCTTGAATTGCTCATTAAGGGCACATTTCATTTGCAGCCTTATACAGTGTTGGTTTTGTTTTTCCTTGTGCCAGCAATTCCAATTATCCATCCTTAAAGCCATGCTTTTCCGAAGTTTTATTGAGTTTCAACATTTATTCTTCAACTCTTCAGAGATCTCTTTTGCATTGTTTAAGCCACTCCATCCATTTTCTTTTCAGGCAGCTCTTGCAATGATCTCTCCAGCTTGGGCTGCTGCTTTTGCATCACCACCAGCTGCTATGGCATTGGCAATGATTGCTGCTGGTGCTTCTGGTGTAGAAACACCTAATCCCCCAACAAATGCACAGCTTCGGCGTGACTCCTCTTTGCTTGAACGGAAAACCTCTAAGCTGAATACTTTTTCAAGCTTTCAAAAACCTCTGGAGATGGCTAACAAGTCACCAGCTCTTCCAAAGGACAAGGCTGCTGCAAAAGCTGCTGCATTGGCAGCTGCACGTGATCTTGAACGCAATGCAAAGATTGGTTCTGGAAGAGGTCTTAGTGCTGTTGCAATGGCCACATCTGCACAAAGGAGGAATGCTAGTGATATGGAGCGTGCAAAGAGATGGAATACTTCTGAAGCCATGGGAGTTGCCTGGCTGGAATGTCTGCAATCAGCTGATACAAAATCTGTTTATGGGAAAGATTTTAATGCTTTGTCCTATAAATTTATTGCTGTACTTGTTGCAAGTTTTGCTTTAGCAAGAAACATTCAGAGATCAGAGGTTTGATGGCTTCTAGCTATTATTATGGCTATTACCGATTTAGGTCCAAATTATATTTTCATTTGATTCTTATATTTTTATTTTTTTCCCGTCCAGATTGATAGGCGCACACAGGTTGATCTAATTGCACGGCATCGATTATGCACTGGAATTCGTTCATGGCGCAAACTTATCCATTGCTTGGTAGAGATGCAATGTCTTTTTGGGCCATTCGGGCATGAATTATCCAATCCCACACAAGTATGCCATGAGATTCCCTTTTCTTAAGGATTTGGGGTAGAGCGTGTGTTTGTGATAACTATTCAGTTATTTAAGTCTAATAAGTGAATAAAATTAATAAGTGAATAAAATTATGTACCAAAAAAAAGTGAATAAATAAATAAAAATTGACTATCTAATTTTATTTTATCTTTTATGGGGTGTGTAGATTTTCTGGAAGCTGGATTTAATGGAAACTTCTTCACGGATGAGACCATGCTTGAAAAGGAATTACATAGGGACTGATCACCTTGGTGCTGCTGCTAATTATGAGGATCAAACTCTGATGAAAAAGAATGAAGAGACTGTGATAAGTCCATCTAGTGCTCCAGTTCTGGCAGCAGAAGCAATTTCAATGGAGGTAGTAAATGAAGATGATGAGCAGCCAGAAACTGATGAGCATGGCAGAGCCTATGAAAGTGAAAAAGGTAAAGAAGATGAATCGAGGTTGTCTGGAGCAACTGAGCAAATCCTTAAGGCACCAGAAGAATCCAGTGAGTCTCAACTGGCTGGTGACCAAAACTTGGTCCAAAGTTCATCAGCAGTTGCACCTGGATATGTTCTTAGTGAACATGATGAGAGAATTGTTCTTGAACTTCCTTCGTCCATGGTTCGGCCGCTGAGGGTTATACAGGGAACATTTCAAGTAAGTTTTCCAGGCTGTATCATGAAATCCTTAACATTATCTGCATAAGTTCCATTTATCATATTCATGATCATTCTTTGACAGTATCTGTCAAGTTCTTGAAAAGAGATTTAGGCTAGAACTAAGATAAGTTTCTTCTCTCGTTATGGTTATAATCTTCTACAATGGGTTTTCTTTAAGTAGTGGAATATATTCTGTAGAAATAATGATATGCCCTAGAGAGTGGACTGGAGATGAGCTGGATAATATTGGAAAGTTTCACAAGCAAATGAAGTTGAGTGGCATATGTTATTTTGGAGAATCTCCAGGAAACCAAGTGAGTTTTATGGGGCTGATGATTTTGGATTAGAAGCCTGGCAAACAAGGACTGAAGGAGTGCTGTAGTGGATAGGGATCCTTCTGATGGGAAGATCACATGATTTCTTGAAGCCAGTTATTGAGCTTTATGACAATTGAGTCAAATGGTGCAACTTGGCATAAGAACTAGTCCCATAACATAATGAATCTAGCTGGTAATCTTGAGCTCTCCAAGTAATCAAGAAGAATGGGTCCATCAGGAGGAGAAGAGCTCATCTTAAGATGCTGTATCTAGCCCATCTTAAATTAAATGCTGCTGCTAACATGAAAAATAAATCAGAAGCTTGACCCTTCTTTATGTTTTGGAAACATGACATTGGAAACCACATTGATTGTTTAGTGGAACCTTATATTTTGAGAAATTTATATTGAAAATACATTTATAGATTTGTTTCGAGTTTTATTTCAGGTAACTTCCAGGAGAATAAATTTTATTGTTGAGAACTCTGAAAGCAGCAGAATGGATGGTTTAGAAGGAAACTCTGAACAGATTATAAATGATGAAAAAGATCGTAGTTGGTTGATGACTTCTCTTCATCAAATATACAGCAGAAGGTGTAGTTATACAATAAATTCTGTTAGTTTTTACATTTATTTCTTTCATGGTAGCTTTTGGTTGATTTGTGCATTCTGTTTCAGTCTTTGGCTGTGTTCTTTATTTTTTCTTTCTTTAATTCTGTGCAGATACATTAGTCACAATTGCCAAACAAAATATGTCCTGAAATTTTCGACCAGCCTTGATCTCATATTGGTGATTGCTAATAAACATCTATGCATAAGAATATGCAAATAAGGAAAAAGATAGTCCCAAACACTATAGCTTCAGGGGTTTTTGAGAAATAAGATTCCTGATTTGGAGTGATTACTGCCCTTCATTTCTGCATATTTTGGTTCTTGTTGACAACCCAAAAATGTGGTGCAGTTTCCTGCACTTCTGTATCTTACTTCTAGGTGTTTCGTGGATATTCTGCAGTATTCTAGATATGTGACTGGGGATATCCCCAGCCCACAATGCAAAAGTTGAAATTTACCCTGTAGAATCAACTCAAGTTGATGTAGGCACATGTCATCGTCTTATATGTTTATTGACTAATATAATAATATTACTGGATTACTGCTTGTGATACATCTGTCTGGTAATGTATAATGAGGCATTTTTTGTGACTGCCTCTTAGGTTCCAGTTTCTGTTATTATTCTTCTGCTTTAACAGTTGTTCATGACTGAATTTTCTGGTTTATATTTCTCTAGGTACCTACTAAGAAGAAGTGCTTTGGAACTGTTTATGGTTGACCGTTCTAATTTCTTCTTTGACTTTGGGGTATGTTCCATTCTTAATATACTGGTTAATTCTGTTATATTTGGCTCTTGTTTGATTTATTATTATATTTTTTTTGTAAATTTAATGAAACCTTCCAGAGTACTGAGGGGAGAAGAAATGCATATCGAGCAATTGTCCAAGCACGACCTCCTCACTTGAACAATATTTATCTGGCAACTCAGGTTCGCACCTTGCCTTTACTTTCTCTTTCCCTAGACAGGCCATACTTACACAAACAACATCCACACTAACAAATCCAATTTATAAATATTTTATGTCTACAAAAATTTGGGTCCACAGGGACCACAACTGACAAATCCAGAGGTAGGTATGTTAGTAGTTGATGACAATCTTGTTTGGTATGTACTTCATATTTCTTTGACAGTCCAGAACTGATATTATTTTTCTTTTTTTTTTTTTTTCTCCCTCCACTTACAGAGACCTGAACAGCTTTTAAAAAGAACTCAGCTAATGGAGCGCTGGGCCAGATGGGAGGTATGCAGTATGCTAAGAACAGATTTTTCATATAATGTCTTCCATTTACAGTTATATAGTTTCCCTAAAGTTCATACTTCATAGTTGTTTTCTTGGATGGGCCCAAAAGCTCATAGATAATGAAGCAGCATAATCACTGATGGAACTACAACTTTTTTGGCAGATAAGCAATTTTGAATATTTAATGCAGCTGAATACATTGGCTGGGCGAAGTTATAATGACATAACTCAGGTAATTCTCTGTAGGTTTTTCTGTTCCTTTGAATGGCCCAATGTCATGCATCTATGGTTCATTTTCTGTTTCTATTAAATTAATTTTTCCTTGCAGTATCCAGTTTTCCCATGGATTCTTTCTGACTACAGCTCAAAGAATTTGGATCTTGCTGATCCGTCTGCTTACCGAGATCTATCGAAGGTGATAAGATTTGAATCTTTCTTCCTTTTACTTTACATTTGCACTTCCTTCCTTGCCATTATAGCATCATGTGTATTTGCAGCCTGTTGGGGCATTGAATCCAGATCGTCTTAAAAAGTTCCAAGAGCGATATGCTAGTTTTGATGATCCAGTGATTCCCAAGTTTCATTATGGTTCACATTATTCGAGTGCAGGAACGGTAGGTTTTCCATTATGTTTAATGATAGATGAAAGGGGCTGCCTTTTTCCAGTCATGTTCTTAAGTGCATTTTTTTTCCTTATATTAGAGGGATGTGTTTCATGTAGAATATGACTTTACCTTTGGAATTAAATTCTAGGATGTTGCTTCTATTCTTAAATCTGGTATTTAGTCTCTGCATAAAAACCAATTTGTTCTCTTTCTGGACGGTTGAACTTTATTCCTTATCTGCTTTTCTAACTGGTTATGATTTCATGAATTCTTTTTTTAAACTTCTATTCTGTACCTGTGTTTTTCCTAGGTTGATTAACTTTTATCTAAGAAGCCAGGAATGGCAATCTTGCTTAGGCATTTAGTAGTCCATTTGTCAAGATACCACTTCAGTGGTATTGGAACTAATAATTGCAGGATAGCCCTGTTCCTGATTTGTTATGCTATACCATCTGATTGAATTATTTCCTTGCAATCTATTTGAAGTTTTCTTCTAGGGCCATCAAAGAGTTAATTAGTTGAACTTGATCTGTGAATGTGGATGCCTTATCATAGATAACTTCTTTTCTACCTCTGTCATGTATTCTACAGGTGCTATACTATCTTGTTAGGGTCGAACCTTTTACTACACTCTCTATTCAACTTCAAGGTGGAAAATTTGATCATGCTGACCGGTTGTTTTTGGATCTTGCTGCTACTTGGAATGGGGTTCTTGAGGACATGAGTGATGTGAAGGAATTGGTAGATGTTTATTTGATCTTTAGCATGAACCCATTACTTTCTCAACATTAATAAAAGAATAAGGGGTTTTTCAAACCTGTGCCCAGGCTGGAAAAACCCAAAGAATAAAGCACCACTTTAACTTATTTTACACCATGATAATTTGTCTCATTGGACTAATCCATTTGACTGTGTTTTTCTTCATCTACACATTAGTAGAGGTGATCATAAAATATTTTAACGTGGGATTTGGTTTTTGTGTATTATGTATCTTAGGTTCCTGAATTGTTCTACCTTCCAGAAATCTTAACCAATGAAAATTCAATCGACTTTGGAACAACACAGTTAGGGGGAAAAATTGGTAAGTACTCTGTAGTATTCTGTAACATTTTCACATGAGAAACAGATCCCAGTTACATTAAGCTCTGATTTTTCATTTTTGTTCACTTGTTCAACATGTCAGATTTTGTCAAACTTCCTCCATGGGCTGAAAACCCAGTTGATTTCATTCATAAGCATCGGATGGCTCTTGAAAGTGAATATGTCTCTGCACATTTGCATGAGTGGATTGACCTCATATTTGGGTAGGTTTTCTTCCCCCTTCTTCCTGAAGAACTTTTTTCTTTTCATCTCATATTATTTTCATCTTACTAATATCAATCTCTTGAGTTGGGAATATTCATAGGAATAATTTCCTATTTAAAGCGACTTTGACTGATATACTTTTGGAGCTAAAACTCACATGATTAAATTGAACATGCAGGTACAAGCAACGGGGTAAAGAAGCTATATCAGCTAATAATATTTTCTTCTACATCACCTATGAAGGGACTGTTGATATTGATAAAATCACAGATCCTGTAAGCTTTTCTTTGCTATTCCATGTTGTATGCTCAGTTTGGATATTATTCCTTGCTTACTTCTTAGACCTGTATGCAAATAAAGGTACAACAGCGTGCTACCCAAGATCAGATTGCTTATTTTGGACAAACTCCATCCCAACTTCTCACTGTCCCTCATATGAAAAAGATGCCACTTGCAGAGGTTCTTCATTTGCAGGTGATTTTTCTTCTCGTTTGAACTTGTACACTTTCAGCACTAATGCAGATTTTTGTATGATTGCATCTAGAATCGCATAATGCATCTCCTTGCTAGTGCTCTTGCTCTAGTTATCTTTCTATGGTTGATGTTCAAAATGAACCATTTCGCAATATGAACTCAATCCCTTGGTAAATGTTAAAAGAAGACAACATGATGTGTGTGCATGTAAATATTCACAAACCATGCTATCATATGCTAAAAATGGAACATTAAATGCCATCACATAATGTGTGCATATATTTTGTCTTGCATGATTTAGCAAGAGAACTGCTAATTTAATTCTACATTAAACCCCAACAATGTGGCTTGCATGTGAGATCTTTCTTACAGATTTTGGAGCATTCTTCCTCTCCTAAGTCTAGAGGATTTGTTGAGAGTAGATATCACTCACTAATCAGAAGGCATTGATGCTGAAACTCAACATTTACACAGTTATATTACATATCTCCTGTCCTGTACAGTAATTTGTTATTCAGAATAAACCATATGTATCAACCTCCCAAAATGTTGAGTTCTGTATAAGATTAGCAAGCAGGCATTAGATCTTAAGGTTCGAGCAGGTGGCAGTAAGAAGAAATCTTAAATAAAAGCTATCTATCTCTATTTGGTTAACAGAACTTAAATTGATGTTAGATGATCAATGTGGGACTTAAGTGATATTTGACTCTCTGAAACAAATAGTTCATTGACAAGTGTCTTTTGGAATCACATGACTAATAACGAGCATGATTGCTACAAGTCACAAGAATGATGGTTTAATTGTACTAATGCTTGCCCTCAAAAATATTGTTTCAGCTTTCTATTATGATTAATCTTTAGATAATGCTCAACTTTTTCATGTCAGACTATCTTTCGGAACCCAAAGGAAATCAAACCATATGCCATTCCAGCCCCAGAACGCTGCAATTTACCTGCAGCTGCTATTCATGCATCTTCAGATACTGTCATAATTGTTGACACGAGTGTTCCAGCAGCACATGTTGCACAGCACAAGTGGCAGCCAAACACCCCTGATGGCCAGGGTACACCATTCCTTTTTCAACATGGGAAGGCAATGGTAAACTCTGGGGGTGGAGCATTAATACGCATGTTTAAAGGGCCCACTGGTTCTGGTTCTGCTTCTGATGAGTGGCAATTTCCCCAGGCAATAGCATTCGCTACATCTGGGATAAGAAGCTCAGCTGTAGTCGCTATCACATGCGATAAAGATATTATAACTGGTTAGCATACTGATCCTTACAATATACTGTGCCTACTTATATTCTAATTATAGTAGGATATTCACCTGTTTTATAAACCTTCACCCTTGTGTCCTCGTAGTTATCATGTTGAGGTTGCCACTTTCTTGCTTGTCCAACAAAAATGCAAGCCCATGAATTAAAATTTGCTCCAGTCTTAAAGTCTCTACAACTATTGCTTTAGTCTCAATTACTTAATATCTCTTATATGCTTTTTGGATTTTAACCAGGAGGACATGCAGATAACAGTATCAAGCTACTGTCTACTGATGGAGCGAAAACTCTGGAAACAGCTTTTGGGCACTGTGGTCCGGTCACTTGCATTGCTCTCTCACCTGATAGCAACTACCTTGTGACTGGATCATGGGACACTACGGTATTACTTTGGAGGATACATAGGGCATTTACATCTCGCTCAAGCAGCATAACTGATGCAACTATGGTTTCCAGCACGCCAAACTCAACTAGTAGTAATACCATGGCTAACATCTTGGCAGAGAAAAGCAGGAGATGCCGTATAGAAGGTCCCATACATGTCCTCCGAGGTCATCAAAGGGAAATTCTTTGTTGCTGTGTAAGTTCAGATCTAGGTATTGTAGTTTCCTGTGCCCCTTCATCAGATGTTCTGTTGCATTCTATAAGGAGGGGATGCTTGATCAGACGGTTTGCTGGTGTGGAGGCTGATGCTGTCTGCCTTTCATCAGAGGGGGTTGTAATGACCTGGAACAAAGTCCACCATACCCTAAATACTTTCACTCTTGCTGGGGTTCTGATTGCCAGTGTGCAACTTCCTTTCTCAGGCAGCATCAGTTGCATGGAAATTTCAGCAGATGGTAAGAGTGCTTTGATTGGAATGAACTCTTGCTCAGGAAAGAATGAAAACTGGAATAATAAACGAGACTTCAATTCGAAGAAGCTAGGGAGTGGTGATTTTGATCTTCAGAAAGATGGAACTAATGAAAGCAACAGATTGGATGTTCCATCGCCTTCAATTTGCTTTCTAGAACTCCATACCCTGAAGGTATACAAAATTTTGGTGCCAATTTCCCTTTTGTAGCCTCAGAAGGAAACTAAATTGTTGTTCTCTGTATTCCATCCCATGACATGCCCAATTTTGCCAAGATCACGTATAATGGCATCCCTGCTTCCCTTAATCATGATATTCTGTGTTTTGCATCTGTCTTTCAGAACATCACGTGCTCCTGCCATTTTTAGCCATTAGTAACCTGAAAGTAAACCTTTTACCCTGCAGGTTTTCCATGTGTTGAAGCTGGAAGAAGGGCAGGATATTACAGCCCTTGCTTTAAACAAGGATAACACAAATCTTCTAGTTTCAACTGCGGATAAGCAGTTCATTATATTCACAGATCCAGCTGTAAGTTAGATATCTTGCTTTAATGCGCATCTACCCATCAACTGCTGTTGTTTCATTTTGAAGTTGAGTTCATCTATATTGCTAATTACTAGTTTCTACTTGCAGTTGAGCTTGAAAGTGGTGGATCAAATGCTCAAGCTTGGCTGGGAAGGTGATGGGCTCAGCCCCCTAATAAAGTCATAGCAGTAAATTTTACTTAGTAGGAGAATGAGTACAGAGAATGTAGCATACAACAATACCGGGCTTAATCTGATCAAGCACATGGAGCTGCTCCAATTGGGGGATCGATTCAATCACACTACAACTCCAATCTTTGTGTGTGTAACATATGTATGTAATTTGACAACACTGTAAATGCATTTTCACCCGTTTCCTGATACACCACCGAGACCAGCCAGTATATACTCCGAGTCTGAGGTTGAAGCCTGCGATCTTCACTTTTTGTTCATCATTTGTTTTTGCATTCTATTTTTTGACAAAATAGTTAATGAAAAATATCATAGCAATTTTTTCATGTATTCTCTTGCCCATTTTTACCGTATGTCGGGATTTAGAAGCTAGTTTTTAGACATTACAGAGGTTTAAACCCCTAATCTTAATATTAAATTAAGGCTTTTAAATCAATGGCTATTAACTCATTTAGGTCAAGTTCTTGTTGGTATTTTCTTGCCTATTTGTTGGACTGAGACTGGCTTTCTTTGCGTGTTGGTTTTTTGTTCAGTTGTTAAATTACATTTCCCTAGCAACTGCTCTTTGGAGAAGCCATTGTTAGCAATCTGAAATGAGTTCAATTTCTAATCACTCTTATGCAACATTGTAACTTTTTATCTTTTAATTTGAAATTAATTAAATTTAGGAATTTGATTATTGATTCTGGATTTTATACGTTTTGATCTCCCATATATAACATTGTAACTAGTGCTTCCCATTTCTCGCAATGTATTGCATGATTGCATCAACATGTCCGAGGAGTTGCACAAAGATGATGTTCCCCGTCCACGTGAAGAGTGAACATTTTCTTGTAATTCCTGCTCTTTGTCTCATCAGCCAATCTGAATCGGTAAAACCGAAGAAGGGTGGTCGACGCTATCTTCATTTGCCTATAAGCAAAATCTTTCCCCAAACACATTCTCGGGCCCGCCTGCAAGCATTAGTATGGCGGTTCAAAAATTAAACCATACACATCAATAAGATATCATCAAGCTATGATATTAACATGAAATCAACAAACTTAAAGGGTGATTCCGGTTGGAAAATTCCATTCTTTAGCCATCTCTAAGGTTGAAAATCCCCAACGTCTTCCCCCCTATGTGAGGCATCCTGCCCATTGCATATGCCATGTAATTCACGCGATCTCCCTTCCTTACTTTGTATCCATCAGGGAAAATGTCATCCATATCTGCACTTCTTCCATCCTTCGAATACTCCATGAAGAACACCACTATAAATATTATTAATAAATATAGTTCTAATAATTAAAATGCTAAGATTCATGGTTAGAGGCTGTTTGGGAGAAAAATTCAAAAATAGGCTTTTGAAGTAGCTATTTAGCTAGTTTTGAAAAATACGCCCTCTAACACCAAGCCGATTGGAATTGATGCATATGCCTTTGAAGATCATAGAACTGATCTAGATCACTTTAGTAGTTAAACGATTATCTACTATCTAAGGTTCTAATACCAACTTAAGAAACAGCTCATCCCAGTAACCGAGCTAAGAATAAGCATCTAATCTAAACACCTTATCCATTTTAACACGAAAATAAGTTTACTTTAGTGGACTTGACATGGGGATTAATGCAGGGTAGAGCCTCAATGTCTCTGTCAAGACAGCGTGAAGATAATGCATTTGTTCAAGGGCTCCATCGGTTTTGGTTTCGACAAAATCATCAATAACGGGCTATTATTTGCTTCACCACCAGTGACGTCTCTCACTTCTTGGGCAACTTTTTCCTGAATCAAGGGGTTCTTACAGGGCATGTAGAAGAACCACAACATGCTATCCTTCCGCGCAATCATGAAGTTCAAGATTACAAATACTTATCATCCATCACCTCTGGATTCTTCTCGCTCTCTACCAAAAATTTTGAGAGTATATCCTCCTCCCTCACATTCTTCAACCCAATCCACACGAATCAATCAAATTAGTTTTCAGTAATTCAAGCGGAAGGAGGGGAAAACAACAGCAAGTTTAAAGTGTATGAACTCACCAGGTCTCTTTGAACGGGAAGCAATTTCCTTTTAGTTCTGATGAGATTGTATACGAAACCGTCCATGACTTTGATGTTCCTCGTCAGAGAAGCTTCAGAGCCAATGTTGAGAACCGTTGGAGTTTCCAAAATGGATACACAAATCGCCAATAGATGAATGCATTCCATAATTTCCATTCATCGAAAGCCTTCATGAATGCTATTCCTTCCTTACTAGATCCATCCATGCAATTCAAGTCCACCCCGAACCCAACTTTGAATATCGAATCTAGAGTGCATTGCATCAGCATATCCTATAAGGAAAACAGGAAGTTTTGTATCCCGAATCTGGGAATTCTTTCAATTGATCTGATTTCAATGAATCGGATTTACTTGCATATCAAAAGCCCGATTGGCAACTGCCGGTTCAGCAATAGCTCGAGCCAGTTTAGATGAAATCCCGAAGAAGAACCTTTATCGAGAACTCAGAGCTCGCCAGCTTTCGCTGTTGCCGCGACTTTTCACCATCTGCCGCGGAGATTCCGTTGCCAAAAGCTCCTTGCCTATTTCTTCATTAAGCCCGCCCTTGGAATCTTTATCAAAGTTAGTTCTCAGTACATGCTCCACATTTCACGGATTGGTGGTGAATATTCGACTCTGATCCGGTGCCAGAAGCAGATCAGTGGGGTGTCTCTTGGCAACTTCAGCCTGGTAGTCATAGAGCTTGTTGAAGTAGAGGTAAAACGCTGCCATACACTGGTGGGTAATTTATTCGCTAACAGACTTTCTGGTATAAATTTCATCATAGATTATTAGAAAGAGAAATATGGACAGAACTATTGCTATCAAGATGAAGAACACGAAGATGATGGAGAACAAACACCACTCAATGTACTACTATTGGCACTAGATTGCCTTTGATTTGTAATCTCCAATATACAATCTGCAATGAATGAAGTACAAGAGAGAAAAAAACCTGAACCTTCTCCATTTCTTCTTGTTCTTTTTTTCTGCAAAATACCAGCAACCACATTGACTTAATCCATCACACTTTGTGTTATAAGATATGCAATGATATGCAATTTGTTGTTAGTTTAATTCTTCCAAGTCATTTGTAAGTATTGGAGAGAGATCTACTTAGTTGGAGATAAATTAGTGGTTCGTTATATGTTTTGACACCATTTTAAAATAAAAAATTAATCTATTGCTTTCCTGAATCCTAACATATCTGTGTTGACCAAAAGAGGAAATAGCAGAACACTTTTTTCTATTGAACTCACGCACACACTATTTTTCTTCTTCAATTCTGCTTTTCATACTTACAAAAGTCAATGATGTACACCAATTGTGCATATTCTAGAGTATTTTTTTTGTTTACAATATTTTAATTTACCATACATACAAAAATCTAGACACACAACTAACGTGGCTTTCTCTCCATCATATATTCTTGTGTGGCTTCAAGTTACTTTATAGTAAAATATATGCTTCTAGAAAACTTTTACTTCATCACCTTTTAGATCTCAAGTCAGTGATGAATATTTTAACACTCCCCCTCAGCACCGACTTTTCTTCTTGGCATCATCCCAAGCTGCTTGCGAAACTTTTCAAGCTTTCCAACGTTGAATCCTTTTGTGAATATATTTGCAGCTTGCTCATCTGTTTTTTAGCTTGCATTTCTATCTCCTCTTGTAGTACCTTTTCTCTAATGAAGTGGTAATGAACTTCAACATGTTTTGTCCTAGCATGAAACACTGGATTTTCTGCTAACCAAATTGCTTATTGATTATCACAATACAATTTTACTGAATAATCACTTGGCTGCTTCAAGTCTTCCATTAATTGCATAAGCCAGGTGCTTTCTTGGGTTGCCACAGCTGCTACTCTGTAGTCTACCTCAATGGTTGATAAAGAAACAGTAGGTTGTCTCTTGCTGCACCATGAGATCGCTCTAGATCCCAAATTAAACACATAACCAGTAATGGATCTCTTTGTATCATGACATCCAACATAATCAGCTTCACAATGACCAAGCACCTTACACTCTGTGCCACTCTTGTATAATATGCCATAATCCAGTGTTCCTTTGACATACCTGAGAATCCGGCATATTGCTTCCAAGTGTGGCTTTTTAGGATTTTGCATAAATCTGCTCACCACTCCTACTGCAAATGATATATCCGGCCGTGATAAAGTCAGATAGATTAAGCTTTCGACAAGTTGCCGGTACATGGTGGCACTTGTTAAGTCCTTCCCTTTATAGGAGCAGAGTCTGGCATTGATCTCCATTGGAGTTGAGATTGGCTTGCACTTAAGCATCCCAAACTTCTTTAATAAGTCTGATGCATACTTGTGCTGACCAAGAATATGCCTTCTTTTGTCCGATCCACTTCAAGTCCAAGAAAGTGCTTTAATTCTCCCAACTCCTTCATCTGAAACTGTACTAACAAGTTCTCCTTTGTTTGAAGAATTTCTTCAATGTCATCTTCGGTGACAATTAAGTCATCCACATAGACAAGCACAATTGCTACTTTGTTGCCTTGAGTTTTGACAAATAGGCTTGAGTCTGCAACTGTCATTGAATAGCCACTTTGAACAAGAAATTCTGCAATTTTTCCGTACCATGCTCTCGGTGCCTACTTGAGTCCATACAGTGTGTTCTTTAATTTGCAAACATACTCTAGATGCCTTTTGTCTTCAAATCCACATGGTTGCTCCATATAAATTTCTCCATGCAAAAATGCATTCTTCACATCCATCTGCCACAGCTTCCATGATTTGCTTGCAGCTAGAGCAAGCAAGACTCTAACAGTATTAATCTTAGCCATCGGACTATAAGTTTCATCATAGTCTATCCCATACTGTTGAGAGAACCCTCGAGCAACAAGCCTAGCCTTTTATCTCTCTATCTTCCCGTCTGGTTGAGTCTTAATTTTGTAGACCCATTTGCAAGATACTGGCTTTACATCATTTGGCTTGGGTACTAATTGCCAAGTTTGATTTTGTTTTGAAGCCTTTATCTCCTCTTCCATTTCTTTTCTCCATTCAATACTCTGTGCAGCTTCCTCATAGTTTTTCGGTTCAGTTACCGGACTTGCTTCAATAAGAGCAATATTAGCATACTTGGGATTTGGCTTTCGCTCTCGAGTGGAGCGTCTTAGCTACTGCTTAGGCTATTGTTCTGCTTCTTCTACTTCACCTTGTCTTGTTTCTTCGGTTATGGGCTCTTGTACCCCTGTTTGCCATGGACTCACTATTCTTTTAGGAGTTATCTCCTTTTCCTTCTCTACAACTTCTTGAGTATCCAACAGCCTGCAAGTATCTTCTCCAAGTTTTTCTTGTACTTTTTCTTCCAACTCCTTGGAATCTGGCAACACTACCTCTTGTGGAGACCACCAAGAAGATGCTTCATCAAACACAACATTTCTAGAAACACAACAACGTCCAGTATTTGGGTCACAGCACCTCCATCCTTTCCTTTGGTCATCATAGCCAAGAAAAATGCATTTGATTCCTTTCTTATCAAACTTGGTCCTTTGAGCTTCTAGAACAAACACATAGTACACTAAGCCAAAGACTCGAAAATGACTCATCACTGGCTTCATGTTCCACAGCTTCTCAAAAGGTGATATAAATCCCAAAGTAGCTTGAGGAAGCTTGCTAATCACATGGGCTGTAGTTTTCATGCACTTTGCCCAAAATCTAGGTGGCACATTTTTAGCATGCAACATGCTTCAACATGTTTCTATAAGGTGTTTATTCTTCCGTTCAACTACTCCATTTTGCTGAGTATATGGACAAGTTAGTTGTCACTGAATACGATTATCTTGTAGATAATTTAAAAATTCCTTTGATGCATACTCTCCCCCATTTTCCGTTCGAAGGCACTAAATATTCTTGCCAACTGTCTGCTCAACTTCCTTTTTGAACCTTTTAAACATTTCTAAAGTTTCTGATTTTTCCTTCATGAAATACACCCATACATACCTGGAGTAGTCATCAATAAATGTCACCATGTAATGTGCTCCACCAATTGATGATTGTTTGACTTTACCAACGACATCCGAGTGTACTAGCTACAGTGGTTCCTTGCCTTTGAACTTGGAATCCTGATATGGAAGTTGATGTGCTTTCCCATATTGACAACCAACACAAACAACATCTTTGCGCACTTCCAACTTGGGTAGGCCTTTAACCATAGATTTATTCATCATCACTTGCAGTCTAAGATAACTAACATGCCCAAGACGTGCATGCCACAAGTTAGCAGTATCATTCTTGCTGGTCCTGTCCACATATGTTGTTTCAGCAGACATCACATAAACAGAATTCTTCTTTTCTCCTTTCATGATCGGTGTGCCTTCAATCTTTAATTGTTGATACACCTTCACATCCTTCGATCCGAACACTACATAATTTTCGGGAGCTATAAGTTGTGCCATAGACAACAAATTCTTTTTCATCTCGAATACATGAAGGACATTTTTCACCTTTACTTGTTGAGAGCTAGTGCATGGTGTTATCACTGCATCTCCAATTTGCTTGATAGAAAGTCGAGTATCATCTGCTGTGACTACTACTCTGTTTCCTTTGTATTCTGACAAGTTCAATAGCTTTTCCTCATCTCTTGTCATGCGACTAGCAACTCCAGAGTCAATTATCCAATTTTTGCTGTAGTCAACTCTACTTTGGTTGGAAGCTGACAAAGCCACTTGGTTAGCC